AAAACAACAAGAGGAGAGGAAGAAGAAAAAAAAAAAGCAAATGTCACTTGTGTATGTTACATATCCATTATCCTGAGAGGTTCACACAAGGCCATTACAGAACGTGTGCTGAAATACGTCGCATCAATCTCTCACGACACACCGCAGAGAAGACAGATATGCTCACAGCCCCCAGCTGCGCCCGTGGTCGGCCACGCGACTGACGCAGGCATGAGAGCGCCTGCCGGTGGTATCGCAGCGGATGGCACCGCAGAACCTCTGCAGGAAAACCAACACGCACCTCGGTCCCGTTCTACAACCAAACAGCAAACGCACTGTGCCTCCGAACCAGCCGGCTGCCAGCTCAAATCCCAGGGTCAGCTGAGTGAGCAAGGCCCTCAACCCAAAACTGCTCCAGGGACAGTCTGACCCAGCGTTTTCAAAACATGTACGTCATTCTGGAGAAAAGCATGTGCTAAGTAAATAAAATGTACTCAGCTGAGTACGGTGAAGGTGAACACACCATCAGTCAATACCGAAAATAAATAAAACTGCTGTTGCTGCTGCGTTTTTGCCTGATTTTTTTTGCTGAAACATAATTTGAATGGAATGTAAGAGCGGCTCACTCGCAGAACCGCAGCTAGGATCTTAAGACAATCCGGGGCATGAGCCAGAGACGTAATCTGTGCGAGGGTTCCTCAGCTGATGGCACAGCTGATAACATCCGAGCTAGAGAGATGAATCGGGGCTGGTTCAGAATCATTCAGGGCTTCAACCCCATGCTCGTCAAGCCAAGAGGGGATTTATTGTTATACAAATCATATTCAGTACACTGCGTACGGTGACACACAGCCTAATAATGTTCCCCAGACCGCAGTGCTACATAAATACAAGTGCATGGATAGACGGGACAAGTGTGTGTGTGGGTGAGAGAGAGAGAGAGAGAGAGAGAGAGAGAGAGACCACAGTGCTACATATATACGAAGTGCATGGATTGACAGGACAGAGAGAGAACATCAACAACATTGACACATAAGTTAAACAATGATGGAATGTTCAAAATGGTCCATGATGGAGGCAGCTGGGCACATGACTGATGCGTCCACTCACTCTACAAGCCACAGGATTTAAATCTGCAACCTTCTGGATATGGGCATAGATCTGTAACCTACTGAAGCACAAACGAGACAAATTGTGGGGAATCACCTCACAGCTGGGATTTATGTCTGGCCTGTGTTAGGAGCAGCTGCACGGCTCTCTAAGCAGGCGATGAGCGCTAAATACCGCCCTGTAATAAACCCCAGAGCAGGCCTGCTTCAGCCAAGCACGGTGTCGGGGGCTCACAGGCCAGCGGAGAGCTTTGAAAGAGGCCGTCGTGACCGCAGAGAACCCGCACCTCCTCATCTGGCAGAGTGAGTGTGATGTCGTCCCCTCCAGCTGAGAGGCGCGGTGCCAGATAGCTGAGGGAATCCATCCTGGTCTCCATGACACCTGCAGCCCTGTGGTTGCCATGCTCCATCACTGTGGACAGCGGGATCTGAACTCCGACCACCCCCCCCTCCCCCCCGGTTTGTATTGCTTTACTGAGACAGAAGGATGACTCAGCTCAATTACCGTGCTAATGACACCAGCTGAGGGCTTACATTGCCCGGCTGGACTGAAAACTCACACGCGTGCAGAATCCGAGTCGGGAACCCTGGAGAACCTGGGAGCCGAAGCTGAAAATAAAGCTGATATGAAGCGTAAGGTGATAGGTCAGGGATCTCCAGAGGTTAAGAGGGTCTCTGGCCCCTGGGTATGTTTAGGAAAGCAGAATCTGCATGGACAGGAGGCCATGGAACCGTCGCCGTGACAGCAAGAGGCACCTCGAAACTAAACACCGCTTCCCGAGGTGTAACCATGGTGACCGGCCTCAGTGGCATCGAGACAGAACATTATGGACTCCAAGTAGAAATGTCCCAGGATTCCCTCTGTAGCTATACGAGCCAAAGGGCTGAGAAACCAAAGTACTGAATAATTACCACACCCGCACACGTATGTATACACCTCCCCAGTGACCCCCCCCCACTGGGCCAGGCTGTTTGCCGTGTTATGCCAGCCTGCTGGCACTTTGATGGAAGCAGATTCTTGTCAGCTGAGAGATGAGTTCAGTTGTTAGTGTTAGCACTGTTGCCAGAGTCCCTGGTGAGTGGGACAAGTGGAGCATACAGAGAGACAGGGCACAGGGAGAGGGGGAGTATACTGAGAGGTGGGGCAATGCGAGAGGCGGGCATAGAGTGTGGTGGGGGATATGGAGAGGTGTAGCATAGGGAGAGGTGTGGCACAGGGAGAGGCGGGGTATACTAAGAGGAGGGGCATGGGGAGAGGTGGGGCACAGGGAGAGGTGGGGCATAGGGAGAGGCGGGGTACAGAGAGAGGCGGGGCATAGGGAGAGGCTGGGCATAGGGAGAGGCGGGGCATAGAGAGAGGCTGGGCATAGGGAGAGGCGGGGTATAAGGAGATGCGGGGTATATGGAGAGGCGGGGTATAGGGAGAGGTGAGGCAAAGGGAGAGGTGAGGCATAGGGAGAGGCTGGGCATAGGGAGAGGCGGGGTATAAGGAGATGCGGGGTATAAGGAGAGGTGGGGCATAGGGAGAGGTGAGGCATAGGGAGAGGTGAGGCATAGGGAGAGGTGAGGCATAGGCAGATGCCCAAGCAAAGGCTAAAGCGGTGTTTCTCACATATGCGTACATGCAACAGGTGCTCAGACGGAACATGTGCCGAACACCCCCAGCAATATAGAAACACAGACACCCATGCAAGCGAACACAGACATGCACAGGCATACGACAGACACACATACATAGGCATCCAGACACATAAATAATCAGTCACACAGAGATGCAGTAGCTTTAAATGTCCACTTTTAGGATTACCATGCAGAGAGCATCAAAGTTAATGCATGATATCCTATCCTATACGCAGTCTCGGTGAAGCAGCCAAGGATGACCCGGCCCAGGTCCAGCTGATTATGCGTCTCACTGCGGTGGGGATACGAGGGGCACACTGTCCCCCGCGATTGAGCCACGCTGCTGCTCCTCCCACTCCCTGCTGACACTCCCTCCGACGCACCTGCAACAGTGGCACTGAGAATTCATCTCCATCTTGATGAGGGACCTCATGAATAAATATGAGTAAATAAGACATCAACATGGGCTCGCGATCGACTTAATTAAGTTTATCATTTTCATCGCTTTTTACGCAGCTGCATCAAATCAATTTCTGATTACAGTGTGCAAAAAAGTTGTTAAACAATACTTTTGTGGAACATGACAGTGGCTTCTTGTTAACTCTTGAATATTAGCGATAATGCCACCATGATCCCTTACGCTGCTGGTGTAACTGGGGGAAACGTCACACTCTGGTGTTCACAGGGATAGAATTAAATAATGTCAGAATCCATGTCCTTGGACATTTTTCAGTTGAAATAACAGTTTTTTTGACTTTGTGTGATTATGAGCTATGCTTTTCTTTCAAGGGCTATGACTAGTACAATTGTACTAATCTACAGAAGTGCTGTGTGGCTAAGCAGGTTATGCATGTGACCAAAAGGTTACTGGTTTAAATCCACTGTGCCCTTGAGCAAGGCTTCAGGTATGCCTCAGGTATGCCAGTCCTATAGAGTAATACTTTATATTAACTGCACCTCCATAATATCTTTATAATGCATTCATAGAAACATTCAGTGCACCTTTATAATGCATTCATAGAACATTCATAAGCAGAATGCAAGTAAACCTTTACATCCTTACACACCTTAATAGCTTTAATATACATTAATAATAAACATCATATGATTATATTATTGTAATGTTTGTTATCACCGTATAATTTTTGTTGTTATCTTATTATCTTTCATATATTTTATGTTAGAATGTTAAGGTATACTTACATGCTGCTTATGAATGTTCTATGAATGCATTATGAAGGTGCACTGAATGTTCTGTGAATGCATTATGAAGGTGCACTGAATGTTCTGTGAATGCATTATGAAGGTGCACTGAATGTTCTGTGAATGCATCCTGAAGGAGCAGTTAATGTGAAGTATCAACTAATACAGTACCACAAAACAGCCTAAATTTTGCAATTATGAAAGCTACATTTTTAAACCTTCAGAAGCTACAGTACAGAGATTGCCTTTACAAATTCAAAACCGCAAGAGCGTCATGTCTGACATGCAGGAGTCTGGGGAACCTTGCTTCATATTTCCATACTAGCCCCCATATCTCCATCACTGGGGACTGTGATCAAACTGTCAGTTAGTCTCCTCCAATCGTATCCCTGACAATGAAATTCCCGCACTGCCGCTTGCCTGGTCCTCAGCCTCGCCAGATGGCTGCGTTATTGATCCAAGCGGCACATGCAGCTGCTAGTCTTGTTCCACTACCGGCATCGCCGGAAGGAGATCCTCTGTAGCAGAGTTTCCCAATCCGGTCCTGGGGGACCCGCAGACGGTCCACATTTTTGCTCCCTACTGGGAGCTGGGAGGGAGCAAAAACGGCGACCGTGTGGGGGGATTCCTGGGGACTGGGTTCAATGGCACCAGTCCAAAGGCTCCCATTCAGACACCAGTCCCGATGGATTAGCACATGCTAGCTAGAAATCCATCTGTGTTACTCCAGCCCGCATGCCACATGTAGGGCCCTGTATGGTAAACTCTCCATTTTCATCCTCTGGAGCTCCAGTTGAACTGTTATATGAAGGCATTCCTATCAAAAGCCACTAGACTGTTTAATGAGTCACCCTGTGATGGGGGGGGGGGGGAGGGTCACTCACTATCTGAATGGACCAGAACCACTTAGGCAAATTTCACATACACAGAACATTCATTCTTTATAATCGTTCCCTATGCAACCCACTGTGCAGAACTGTTCATTTCTGAGCCATTACTGGGGAACTGCAATACCAGCCCTGACATTCTTTACTTTGATGCTGTTTATTGATGTTTATTTACTGTTACTGTCTATTACTGTCTAAATGTGTGTGCTGTGCTACTGTAAACCTGCAATTTCCTTCAGGATTAATGAAGAATCAGTCCATCCATCCATCCACTGGAATTTCTGGGTGCTACTGGGGGCTGGACTTGGACCAGATAAATGGAGTGAAAACAGAAATGGTCACTGCGATCAGGAAGCCAACAGACAAAAGCAAGCTGAGTCCCGTGGTGAGGGGGAATAGGTCATTTGAGTTTAGGAATACAAACAGATAAAGGGTGCAGTTAAAAGCCAGAACACACAAAGTGAATAAAAAGAAACCGGGAATGCAATGACAAATGGCCGTGGTAAGCCAGAACCTGTTGGATACACACACACAGAATTCGGTGTGAACAGAGCTGAGCTGAATGCACACGATGAGAGGGATTTGAATCAACACCCCTGTGAGTCCTATGTGAGTGTCCCCACACACAGCCAGTACGAGGAATGGCTATTATATTCACCAGAACGCTTCAGGAGAGATCATCCAAGCCCTTCCTCCAGAGCAGTGTTTCCCAACTCGGTCCTCAGGGACCCCCAGGCACTCCACATTCTCGCAGTTCCCAGTAGTTTCTCAAGGGTCAACGAGGATATGAACCCACAACCTTCCGGTTAGTGGGACGGATGTCTAAACCACTCCAGTTTGATTTGCATACAGAGCTGGTGGGAAGCAGGGAGGGAGCAAAGGCATGGACTGTCTTGGGGTTCCTGAGGACTTGGATGGGAAACACTGTTCTAGAAGCAAAGCAATATGAGCATCATAACCTGGGTTCGATCCCCGCAATCTCTGGCCCAGAGGATGCAAACTGGCTTTATTTCGGATGAATGGCGGTGAGGGTGGGGTTCCTTTCCATCTCCCCACCCTGCAGCTGCATTTACTGCTGAGTGTGAGTCTAACCTACTCTCCTAGAAGGTTATCAGGTACAGCCCATAAATGGGGGGAGGAAAGTACACAGCAGATGAGTGGGTGGGGGGGAGGGGGCCTCTGTGATGAGATTACTTGAGCATTTTAGATGGGGAGGGGGCAGGTAGCAATGACAAACAACTACAAGAATTATGCAGAAATTTGTGACCGATTCATATTTTCCGCTTCATTATTGACAATAAGGCCCTTGGTGAGAAGGATTAAAGCCTCAGTACTTATAACTTTTAAAAGATGATACTGGTACCAAATAATAAAAAGGAAGTGCAAGAGGTACGGAAGGCAAGGCTGCAGAGTCCCCAACTCACTTAGAGAGGTCGCGACCATCCTGTTGCCATGGGAACAGCACGTTGCCCACGGCTGCCCGGTAACTGTACACTCCCAGCAGGCCGAGGACCAGGGCTATCTTGGACACCAGGGAGCAGCGGCGTTGGACCAGGATGAAGACGAGCAGCAGGGAGCCAGCCGCGAGCAGGGACAGCGCCCCCTTGTGTTCCGAGCTGTAGAAACAAAGAACACACAATTGACCAATCAGGAAGAAACAAACAACCGCAGGCCAATTGGAGAACAGCAAACATATTGCAGTGCATGGAAACTCCATTTTTATATTTTTAGCATGAGTAAGATGTAGTGATGACTCCCTACCCCCACAAAAGCGGCTCAAAGACAAAAAGAAATACTGCTGATGTACTTACTCTGGTAAGAAAGATGCATTTGCAGCATTTTTTTGTATCCCCAGCATCAGTGACTCCAGTGATTGCATCTCTATGGTTTTGCCCAAGTAATAAGATGACCTATCATACAGTTACAAACTCCTAACTCATCTCTGTACTGTAAGACACAAAATCTACGCGAAGTCCTCCTTTGTTACAAGGCCTGCGGACCAAACAGCGGATTACAGAGTTCTCAGCATTCTGGATAAACCAAGAGCGAGAACTGCAGGTGGCGGCGGGATAGGAAATCCCACAGCTTGGACAGCGGGTCTAACGAGACTGCCGTTGCCTGTTTAGAGCCGTGTTGGGCCGAATCATCACTGGAAGGCTAAGAATCTCAGTGTCCTTTGAGGAGAACGCCCACGGGATAGGGATCACAGGCTGCCTAATGACGGTTAAAGCGACAGTCGCTGTTTACCGTTGTCGGTTTCCCAGAGTCGTGGCGGTAATCTGAGCGCTGCGAGCCGGTCGACTGAAAAGCTGAGCGCGGGCGAAGGACGGCGGTCAGTGGCTGACAGAATCAGGCGAGCACATGACTGTGGACACACCAGGGGGTGGGAGCGCCGTCTAAGAGACAGACGGGCGTTGACAGTCATCCTGCAAGACTTCAAAGCTACCAGGGATGCCTAAGCTCTAACCGGTCATTAGGGGGAGCCATTGAGCGCAATGCAATCCAAAGGACATGATGATGATCCGGGAGTCTTCGGCATGTCCACCTCAGCACCCCCATCTGTACATATCCGCCTCTACGCTGCCTTAACGGAATTTGATAACCGTATCCGCCTCTACGCTGCCTTAACGGAATTTGATAACCGCGTGTGAGCTTGGGACTCCTGTTTCTCGGTGTTCCTGCCCTCGCCCTGCTCTCCACGCCTCGTAAGCCCTCACAGACATACGCAGACAGGAACAGCCGCCCCCCCCCCCGAGAGTTCCCATGTACACAGCGTCCAGCTTAGGAACCGGCACTCTCGCTCGGAACTGCCTCTGTTCTTATTCTGAGAGCAACACCAGACACATCTCCAGCACGAGCGGGACGGGACATTCAGCTCATATCTGCTTCGGTCTCAAACAGGAGCTTGAAGTTTGTCCCTCAGATACCCTGGATCTTTGCTGAAGGGAACCTTCTGCCATTAAATAAGCAGTAACAGGAACCACTGGGCCCAGCCCTGTTTATCCACCTTGAATGCCCTCTTGATCTTACCCCCAGGCTGTCTGTGTGCGAAACTTGTACATTTTCCCTGTGTGTCTTTCCAAGTGTTTTCCCCGCAGCCCAAAAACTCATGGGTAGGCTTCACTAAACCATCCCTGATGTGTGACAGTGACTGAGTTTTGCTGAGAGGAGGTGAGACCAGGGACAAATCGGTGAATGAGGTGAATTTTGCCGAATGGATTTTATCACGCTTCAAAAACGGAATAACAATAGCGACATTCTGGAACTAAAAATGTGCTCCAGCTGTACGGCCCTCCAGTTCTGCTAGCTTAAGACTCCATTCATTTTCTATACTACTTTGCGGGGGTCCAGAGCCGATCCCAGAAACAAGGGGCACAAGGCAGGGGATGATCCAGGACACCATTCACATACCTTGGCATAAGTGGGTCACCCCACTTATGAAACCTGTCATACTAAAAGTACGCAAATTAAGGAATAAAAAGATACCAGATTTGATTCAGCAATTCCCCAGTCTTTCCTACCCTGTGACAAATTTGGCTTCTGTCTTAATATCCATGTCTTAAAATATAACATCTATGTCTATATATTACATGCTATTTATTACTTATTATTTTTCATTTGCACTACAACCAACGAGCACGATATTTCAGCTCAGTGTACAACTCACACGCATCACATCACAAGCTTAGAAGAAAAGATACTTTGAGTATGGACAAACCGGCATCGTGCCTAGGGCACTGTATCCCAATCTGGTCCTGGGGGACCCACAGACAGTTCACATTTTTGCACCCTCCCAGCTCCCAGTAGGGAGCAAAAATATGGACTGGCAGGGAGCTCAGAGGAACAAAAATGTGAACTGTCTGTGGGTCCCCAAGGACCGGATTGGGAAACACTGGTCTAGGGTGTTACCCTACCTTCTGCATCCCTATGACCTGCATGAAGTGGTTATGGAGGACACTGGGATGGATTTCTTAGGAGATGTACCCGATGAAGACCTGAGATCCACACCACTACGACTGTTTTTGACAGCACTGTGTGGAATCGTGTACATTTATAGAAGTGACTCAGGCCTTTTAATGTGAAAGTCAGGCAGCATGGTGCCCGTGTGAGTATCTCCTCGCACGCCGCACAAAAACAAGTCACAAACGAAAGCCGGCGTCTTTGATATCCCGACGATACCGGCACACCACTCCCCGGCAAATAACAGGCTGTTCCCAGCATATCGAGGTCATCTCTCAAGCCTCCCGAGCGCCGCAATAGCAGCATTCTAGATCTAAACATAGCGACGATGGAGAAGATGCTAAAAATCAGCACTATCTGAGGGTCAATGAGGCGCATTGAGCGTGGGTCAGCACGCGGCAAAGGGGAACGCGGCCAATCCTGAAACACTCGTCAACATCGCCCAGACTCACTTTACTTTTCATCAGCTCATGGGCAAAAGCTCAAACGAGGTCCTCGCAATAGCTTTGTTCTTCGTGACCTGCGGTGGCCTGAATAATCCCAGCTACCATCGTTTACAGATAATTCTGACAGCACGTCAGTCTATTTTCCCATCATAGACGATCCAGAGGACCATGCTGCTGACGTCAAACGGTAACCGGACTCTTTGGTTCGAGGATATGATGCTTTGTGCAAAGGCCATGATCACGGTCAATCACCTGGACCATCCATTCCAATTTTGTTACTTTCATGAAATACTCGTGACAGAAAGCTATTACCTCAGCACACCATTTTACTTCACACAATATTGTTGATTTGCAAAAAAAAAAAAAAAAAGTCTGAGAACAGCTGAAATAAGACGTAAGTACTTAGAACCATCACTACTGTGTCATAAAATGTCAGCTTGGAATAAAGCTATAGCCCTTAACCATTACCCATCACCCATCCATCCATCCATCCAGCATGTCCAGCACAGATTGTGAAGACCACGAAATAAAACCACCTAGATACTCTTTGCATATACGAATTCACATAAATTTAAATAGATGCACATTTCTAAACAAAATCCAGCCCGGATAACGTCCTTCTCACCGCGGGGACAAGTGCGGTGAATGAGAGCTTATGCGGTGGCCTTCTGACGCACTTCCCACGAGGGGATTCTGCCTGAAACTAGACTCTTTCACTACGAGTTCTCAATCAAATCAGGAGAGAGCAGATGCCGCCCGCTACCGTCGTGTCGGACGACTAAAGTACCGGAAGCCGACTTCCCGGGAAACAGGAGCCCGGCAAATGGGCCAGAAGACATTATGGGCTGACTGTGGACCGGTGATGCAACGTCGATCTCAGCCGCCGGGATCCACAGCATCCCTGAGGATGGTTATTCTAGTCCTGCTGAAGAAACTCCTGTCACACGAGAGGCGGATGTGGAAGCGGTGCTTCTGCCGGGCTTCCGGGCATTCCTCGACTCGCTATTCCTCGAGATCTGCAAACACCGCTTTCAAGCAGGATGACCTTCTCCTGGCCTCTCCTTACACCGCGGTGAACACAGAGACCACTATTTCTCCATGTCAACGAGCAGGGGCTTTAACGAGGCCACTAATTAGGCCGACGTCTGACTCATTCACAAAGAAGCAGTGCTTAGGACTTTTCAGGAATTACATCTTGACCATCTTCCATTAATACAAGGGGAAGTGTTAGAATTCCTGTTATTTGTCACATAATTGCTGAATTGTTACATTTTGGTTATATAAAAGGGAGCCGACAGCAGATGATATCATTTCAAACAAAATTCTACCATTATCTTGAACAATTTCTATTAATTCCTCAGGGCTTGGGCTGTACCGCCTCAGCTCTGATCACCCCAAATTCTCACTGACTGGTTTCTCAGCAGCTCATCAGCACACAGATTCCTGAGCTCAGCCTTATGAAGTGAAGTGGGGGTCATAACGAGTCTTAAGCTGCCTAATAAAGAGAGTTCATTGCTTGCATTATGTTAATTGCACAATGAAGCGGCCGCGATGCTGTGTGACGACGGCTTTGGAGAGAGACACACTGGTGATTCGGGACAGATCTTCTTGGATTAAAACACCTCACGGTCTTAAAGCTTCAGACAAAGGCAAACACCCAGGAACATGCAGATACTAAATAAATACAACTCAGTACAAAGGAGTAACTTAATCCACTGGGGTTTTTTGCCTAAAAGAACAGCCTTCGAAAGGTAATATGAAGTCTGGTTAATCGCCATTTGCTCCTTCTTTAAGGATTAACTCAGGCAAAGGTGAATTATGGGTCCTGGATCAAACGTCTCATTGTCTGCTGAGCTAAGGTGGCAACTGAACCCTCTGTATGAATAGCATCGTCTTAGAGGCAATAAGGACACGGAAATCTGAGACCAATCCAAGCCATGACAGTAACAGTATGCAATGTGATGTACAGTAAACTTGCACCAGAACTTCATGGACTCAAGAACCCACACAGACAGACCCCCCCTCCACCGTTCACCCCTCAGTTCCCAGCGCTCACTAGAGCGTCGCCTGAATAAGGGGGGTCAGCTGCTCCCTGTTTAGCCCCCGAGGGACCTTGCCTTGCTCGTTCTTCACATCCTACATTTTTTCTGATGCTGCCGAGATCCTCCGCCCGCCCCCCCCACCCCCCGCCGAGCTACAGGCAGAGAAAGAGCCTTGAAGGTCTAAAAGCAAAGAGAGGGCCCCAGGCAAGGAGGGCCCCCCACCGAGGAGGACACCAAGGAGCTCTGAAAACAGTGGTCAGGTGGGGCGATCGGTGGGGGGGGGGTCGTGTCAAAATAAGGGGGCGTACAGTTCAAATCCCAGTTGGCTCCATGCTGGAGAATGGGTACGAAAATTGAAACTTTTGCTATAGAAAAAATCTGTTGCATATATGGTCCTGTACAAAGGTACCAGATACACAACAGAGTGAAAGTCAGTGAAAGAAAGTTGTACGCATATGATTGGCATATTGGCTTAGCCATTTCAAAACCTCTCCTAAATTCACCCCAGTATCCGCAGCAACTGAGCAATATATCCATATTCCTGCTGACTACAAGCATAGCATGTCTGGCCAATCAGCACTTCATTAAATTATCTAACTAATTAAGTTAATTAACTGAGCTGGTGGGTGAAATTTAATGAGTACATAGAATGGCTGCGGTGCCCCTGAGGAGTGGTTTGGGAACTGAAGCTGCGTTCATCTAGCCATCCAACTTTCTGGAGAACAGAAGAAATTCTTGTTAGTTTTTATTGTGCTGCTGTTAATTTGCATATGTTCTAATGTTAAATTGTTATTTTTTTTGAGAAAATACACACTTTCTAGCCAGATAAACAGATTTAAACATTTGACTGTTTATTACTTTAGTACAGTATTGTGTATACAAAGCACAAAAATGTAATAATAATTGTGCATCTCATGACCGGGATGCTTTGTAAGTGACCTGTTGCGTCTGAGTGCATCAATCCATTACCCTGCTATACCGTACATGCTGTTACTCATCATAGAAATACAGAGATACAGCAAACTTCTACAGGCAGAAGATGCTGGCATTCTGACCTCATACCGGTGCTAGATCACTTTGGCCATCGTTCATCTGCTGCACTGTCACAGACAGAAACACACAAGCCGGCAAATGCATGCTGAATTATGGCCGCGCTTCAAAAAAAAAAATCAGAATGAAGGATCTGACCCCCTTGTTGCCACACGGCCCACCCCGATTTACTGCGGCAGAAAGTGTCGCCACATCCCAAGCTCGACAAGGACAAGTGCACAAATCCCGCACTTGACAAAAGAGTTCGGCCACAGGCCAGACCCCCCCACCCCACCCCCGCCGCATCTGATTACTCAGCGCTGAGGCTGGCGCACTTGGGGCGTGTCTCTGGCGTCAGTCTCCGGAAAAGCGGAGAAGCATGTCGCTTCCTAAATCGTAGGCCTGTAACCGGAAAATCGAAGTTACCATCTGGCAGAAGACTTTTACATCCCCCAAGACCTTGGCCGAGGAAGGACAGGACCGGCGTGAATCGCAAAGAGGGTCCTTGCCGATGTTACACATGGTCACATGTCCGCCACACTTCATTATATGTATCCCAGGTCACTCTCGCCCTGACACGTGACTCACCGCCCAACTTCCTCAAAAGTTGCACAACACAAATTACAATCACACTTACAACTCAACTACTCCAAGTTTCCCTGGTTTCTTCCCATAAATACAGACGTCCTTGGTGCTGATTACCAAAGACATTACACCATCCTCGTAATGTTCTAACCTCGGTTATTTATGTCTGCGGCAAAGCTATGGTAATAATAATTTATTTAAAATAAATAAATAATAGAAACATGCTGAGTCATGAGCTTTATTAATAGTACACAGTATAGAGCCACATAAAGATATCGACTGCAGACAGTATGTGATCTATCTCAAACACAATCCTTAAATCTTGGCTATAAGATGGATAGTGTTATTTATCTAGCTGAGGGTCACAATATTAATGTCTCTAGAGGTACGTTGCTGGGTCCTAACCTTTTATACCCCAAAGTGGTGCTTACCTGGTGAGCCAGTGTCCCAGGTCGGGCAGGTGTGCCCACTGCACCCCCGTCTGATTGAGGGAGCGGAGGAGGCGGCAGGAAGTTAGGGTTATGAGGGGCGTGGTCAGGGCTAGCCACTTCCTGTTCGAGGAACTGGAATGGGCCGGTTTGTCGTGGGGGGCCAGCAAGGCTCCGTCATCCGCCGGGGGTCTTTTCTCCCGGAAGTACTTGCGGCAGACGTCTTGGAAGACGACCAGGCAGAGGGTGTTGAGCAGGAAGTACCAGGTCTGGTGCTCCTCCTCGATGAAGCTGCTGGCCGCCAAGCTGAGCGTGTGGCCCACCGACCCCGCCAGCAGCAGGACGTCCAGCTCCGAGAAGCGGCCCGAGTCGCCGGCACTCTGGGGATGCGTGAGAGGGCATGGGATGGGCATGGGACGGGCATGGGACAGCCGGGGCGGGGAGGGGGGAGGACAAGAGCTTTTAGGTAATTGCTTAGTTGGTTGTTAAAAAATATACAAACACGTACAAACATAATATAAAAAAATATACAGAGAACAGTGGCTTAGTGCGGTGCGGACCCCAGGAGGGAGGGGGGTTTGAATCCCGCCCGTGCTCTATGTGCAGGATTTGCATGTTCTCCCCGTGTTCACCCATCTGCATCCTGTATTTCGCGGAAACGGTAAAAATGGCAGACTTCATAAAACAAGAGGGAGCGAGAGCAGGGCGTGAGCAAAACCATTTCTGATACTGCTAAACCCGCGGAGGCAGTGGGATCTGCTTTGCTGGGGATGCAGGCAGCCTGCCCTGTTTCCCCTCCAATCCCCTGCACAGCCTGGACCCCCCAGAGGAAACTTCTAGAAAAGAATCAATTAAAAAAAAAAAAAGAAAAAAAGATGTGTTTCTATTGTCAAAAATCTCAAAGGAAGGATGCGATAAGATCTTCAGAATAAAAGTTCAGATCAAAAAAGTAATCGAGCAGAAGAGGATTCGAATCATCCTGGCGAGGAAGAGGGAATTAAGCTTGCGGAGTGACCATCAGGGCTTCCCAGAAAACGTCAGGGAAAATGCCTGACATGATCTAAGAACGTTCCTCTTATCTGGCTATTAAACACAAAGCTAATTCAGCAGCCTGCATTCAAGAGCATGGAACCTTCTAGAAGTGCCCGCATCCATTTTTGGAAACCTTTATGTGAGGGCAGGCGGGGGGGGGGGCACAAAGCCCACTGGACAGCTCCTGTGCCAGTTAGACAGATATTTTTTTATGGTTTATCTCCAGGTATGGAAGATGAACAGGCGGCTTGGTGGTTAAGGAGGGAAACTTCTGCTTCGTCAAACAATGACAGAGCCAAAAGGTCTGCGAAAGATCCAATCATTATGGGCTTCACTCCCACCCCAGGACCAACACCACCCTGGTACTCCAGATACATTACGGGTTGCTTAGTGTAATAGGTGCGGGAGAATGGAACACATTACCAACAGAAATATTAAAATGTACAAATTTTTATGAGTTTTCACGCCTGACAAAACAACGCTCCTCTCAACCCAAACCTGCTCTCATAGAGCTGATGTGTGAAAGCGTAGTTTGCACTGAAGTTTGGCAGTTGAAATGTTCTGAATGACTGTATGTAAATGGTGGTTGTCTGCTATTGGATTGTATATATGATAATGTTTTTATAATGATCTGTCTCAATTTGCATTTTTGACAGTTTTATACACTTTTTACACCAGCCGGTCCAGGGGCTACAGGTGTGAATTAGCAATAACGCTATAACCTGGTACAAAGCATCTCTCCTTTTGTTTGAGGTTAATGTATTTTGTACATTGTCCCTGTTCGAATAAATAAATAAACTAAAAAAAAGAATGAGCAGTGCTCCCAGCCGGATACTGTAACAGCTCACTCTGCATATCTAACTTGTAATAGAGCATGCGTACAGTAATGTATTTGTGATGGACAGCTACAATATTGAGATATGCCCAAATTGACATGCATCCAATGTTCCAGGTCCCAAATGTGATCGCAAGTTGACATAAGGCTGTCGAATGTTTGTAGACTTAACACAATTAAAACTAGCTCCCTTAAAACAACGCTCTGCCAGAAAGTTCAGCCATCCTTAGATTTACATTTCACGTATGTAGTAAACACTTTCGTCCAAAGCGACGTACAAGTGAGGCAAATAGCACGTCGTAAACTTACGTGCTGTCAAAGAGTTGACTAGGCATTGCTAGGCTGAGCTTCCAGTGGATGCTCAGGTACGAGTGTCAGCAGTATTGGAGCAGGAGCTACACAACATCTCCCGAAGCTAAGAAGATTAGGTGATGACGACACAGATCTGCAAGGCCCATCACTGGGTCCATCCTCACATCATCACTGACAGTCTGGTGCAAGGCCACCAGGACACAGGACAGGTCCAGACTCCTACGCCTCATCAAGTCCGCCCAGCTGTCAGCTCAGCTGTCTCCCGCCCTCCGCCCAGGTCCCTCACACCTCCCGGCTTAAGAAACGAGCAGGTAGGATCATCGCCGATCCCTCTCCCCGGCCCATGGCATCTTTCAGACACCCCCTTCTGGGCTGACATTCTGGTCTCTGAAAACCAGGACTTTTAGATGCGGAAAGTGCTTCTTTCCCTGGGTTGTGACAGAATGACACTTGACGATATTTGTTCCGCCCACAATGTCAAGAGTACAACTCTACTAGTGCCGGGGATCCAACAGGGCACCTTACACCGTACGTTTATCTGTTATTCATTTACTTAAGTTGTTTGTATGCTGATTTTGAGATATTATCACTGCACTCCTATCTCAGCTCTGTACGGTTATTTGTGAAATGTTGTAAACACCACGCCGGGCCGAACTACGAACCTACACGGCCAATAAACTTCACTGTAATTCTTATCCTCTGTTTCCCGTCACCTTCTCCAAACCCGAACCCTAAAAGTCGAGCTGCCTCGTCCATCTTCCTGCCCGTCATATTTATTCCACCCCCATGACTCTTGGGCATGGATTACAAAGTCGCCCCCCCCCCCGGCCCTGCTTAGCTACCTGGGAAATTACTCACAAGCTCAGCATGCTGACAGCTCACTCACAGCTGTGCCTAGGGACACGGACACACACACACACACACACACACACACACACACACACACAGTTAATCATTGTCCCAATCAGTCACACGCTTGTGTCGCTCAGGTACACAGTCATAGTTATACATAAATCTGCATGTTTTATTGCGGGGGGGGGGCGGGATTCTCCATACAGAAATACAATCCTGCCAACCAGCTTTAGCTCAGTTATTCCCTTTATCGATCAGCAATGCTACACACCCACGCTCCTGGGGGGCCGTGTGACCGTCGCCACTGCTAACGCACACGGCCACCCCCCTCTCCAGCCCCCAGGTCTCTCATAAGTGAAATGTGTTCTGGGAAAACTTATACCCAGCTCTCTGCAGCCCAGCTGCTGATTGGCTACTGCCTCTCTGGCTGTCCCCCCTTTGGGGGGGGGGGGATCCAAACTGCCTATTTAAATGCTAATCTGACACTGCTGCTGGAGACTCCCGTCCGAGGCCTGTGCTGATTGGGGCCACACCCACGCCTGCACTCGGCTATGACATCACCGAGCTGCTTCCCAGCCATTAACCAATCGCATATAGCTAAGGGTTACCTGCGGTCAGAGGAGGACCCCTCACCCGGCCTGAGAATACTGAAGCTCACCCACCCCTGACCCGGCTGGCCAATTAATCTGCTTCTGCATCGGCACTTCCACACATGGCACAGCAGGGGGCAGCAAAGAGCCAAAGGGCAAAATGTCCCAGACAGCCGTCGACGTGCCCTGTCAGCTAGACACTGGTACAATGAAGCGTCATTATGGTAACAAACATTAAGACTGTATCCCAGCAGGAGGTGATCTCGAGCTAACCTCCCCTTTCCATCTCTGAGTTCTCGGAGGTGTATGCAGCGGCGTCTCGAGTCTGAGCGCGCTCCCACAGGCTTTCCCATCAGCCTCTCTCTCCCCCGCGGCCTCGCTCGCTGCTCCATGTGAAACCGCTGAAACGCCATCTCCGGTCTGACAGAAAAGTCTCCACATTCCCCCATTAAGTGCCATAGTCAATGGCAGCTGATGGTAAATAATTAAAAGCGATGCACTTAAGATGAAATGCCGTCTTCATGGCAGGGATTCTCTGCCTCGGAAAGCATTTGCTAATCATTAAGGAGCTCTTATTATATTACAGCAGAGCTGAAAGACAGATTTCATTACGCTGCACGACCTGCACAATGCAGGCTCCATACAGTGGACTCTTGGTGGATTTTCCCCATGTCTGCTTTTTGTTCCTGCCCGGATCAAACCGCCCACCCCAGCCTCTCCCATACCACCAGCCCCGTCCCCCAGCCTCACCTAGTCCCACCCATAGCACCAGCCCCATCTACACCACCAGCCCTGCCCCCACCAGCTCCACCCACAGCGATTGCGGCACCCACACCACCAACCCTGTTATCCGCAGCCTCATCTCTAACCCTACCCACAGCCCCGCCCACACCACCTGCCCCGCCTCTAACTCTACCCACAGCCCCGCCCACACCACAAGCCCAGCCTCTAACCCTACCCACGGCCCCGCCCACCCCACTAGCCCCGCCCACAATCCCACCCCACAGCACCAGCCCCACCCCCAACTCACCTTTGTGGCGGGGCGTCCCGTGGGGGCCAGCCTCCGGGCGGCCAGGCCGAGGAGCAGGCAGAGGCCAGCCGAGGCGGCTGTGAAGAGGACGATGGCAACCCCCCAGTGCAGGTTGCAGGGGAAGCAGAGGGCCCCCACCGACGTGCACACCAGCACGTGCACGGCGACCGCCAGCAGGCAGAGCAGGAAGAAGGGCAGCGAGAGCAGGGAGGGGCCTAAGAGGAGCTCCACCTCCGCTGCACCGCTCAGTGCCTCCGGCATGGCCAGCAGGAGGAGCAGCAGCACCTGAGCGGAGAGGGCGGGGCAGTCAGGTCTCACTGCATCCATACCCCCCCCCCCCATCACCCCCCAAAGTCAGAAAGATGCTTCTTTCTGTTTTAGTATAAAACATCTCAAACTCTGGGCAAGGAACCAAACAGCTGGTTGGAGGGAAAAAAAGTGACAGACAAAAGTGACAAACTAAATCTTTTAGCGTAAATATCGACGTGCTGATGCATGAATGGAAATCGGCAGACGGCTACAAAGCTCCGACTCAAAATGATGGCAGAAGACACATATATTCCTACTTCCTGAAGGAACACCCACAGTCAGAGGGCACCAATCCAACCTGCCTGGGGTCGTTTTGTGGTGTTTCCTTCAAACGTTATAGCGACTGGGCTAAATTTCTGCTTTCTGTCCGCGGTCAGCAGGACGTGGCTAACTGGCCGGCCCCACAAATAAATTGATTGGAGGCAGATATTTTCAGACAGCAGGCTGAAAATAAAAAAAAACAAACGAAAAAAAACAAAAACAAATTGTTGCAGTCTGAATTTTGGCGTTACAGTTCAGCCAAAACTTCCAGCTCGACCTTCCTCTACATGTCGACGACGCCTTTCTAGAGGAGACGGGGGTGTCGTCTCCACGGTGACAGGGCACTGAAAGCCCCCGTGCCGGGAACAAACTCCCCTGCCTAACTGTCTGGGCCCTATCCCTGCGATGACGACTCGGGGAACGTGAAATTCTCCGTCCTGTTTAGCTACTGACTGACAGTCATACATTCCTGCCTCTGTTAATGACCATATCCCCATTGCGGAGTAGGGTTAGGGTTAGGGTTAGGGACTGTTTCTGCTGTAAATAAGGCACACCACATCTCTTATTCTGTGTCCTATAATGATATGTTGCCTAATCAATTTAGAGAATAATTATTTATTAAAAAGACAACAGTCCTGGAAGCAATGAACTCAAAACAAAAGCAAAACCCCAAACTCTTTTTTCAGTGCTTTTGAGTATGACTGTCTTTTTAATTTACCTTAAAAACACAAAAAGCCTATCACTGTAATTAACGTAAGTAGCGTGTACACGCTCCAGTAGAGGTCTGGGATCAAATACCAGAAGCGGGAAGGTTGCCAGATACTTTCCGAGAACAGAAAACTCCAAAACAGCCAGAGGGCATGAAACAGCATTTTAAGGCGGAGGGGGTCAGTGGCCGGGGTCCTTCAGAGCCCTATCCTGGTATAGGGACATGATGTAATAAGCGCCAGATCTGAACCCGGCACCCCGAGGGAGGTGACTCTCTGCCCGAGTAATTAAAGCAATTAAATAGCAAAGGTAAAAGCAGGACTGGAATGCGGGCGCCAGCGGGGACTGGGGTCACGACCCCCTGGTTAAGTGTCGATGTCCTGCTTAATTTCTCAGGTGGAGCTTGAGTGGAGATGATATGCACAGGTCAGGAGAGAAGAGGGGCTGGCTTTGGAGGAAGATTATGAAGTGAGGGAGGAGGGATAAAAATCCTCCCCAGCCAGGAATCGGCGGGCACACCACCAGGTGCTGCTCCCCTGCTAGTTTTTCCCAACGACGAACACGGTCAGCCATTAGTAGTCACTGCAGAGCTGTTCACCATATGAAAGGCGGTCAAATGCACGCTTTTCTACGACCGTGGCGGGAGGGGACTGGCCGCCACAAGGCGCCCATGCAGTGTTCCTGTGTTGGGACCGGTGGGGGGGGAATTTCTTGTGTTAATCCCTCACATCGCTCGGCCATTCGGCTGTCAAAGGGAAGGCACTTATTTACCCTTTGGCCGGGAGGCGTACGAGGCCCAGAAAGAATACATGAATGTACAATGTCCCATGACTGCAAGGCTTTCTCAGATGCTCTCTCACGGCTAAATTTCGTCCTTTAATACTAGACGCCTCCAGCTCGCTAGCGTATCTCTGTGGAAGCTGATTCTGTCGACTCAAAGTGCACACACCTCCCCCCCCGCCCGCCGGTCAGATATTTCTGAATAGAGCCCCATCTCCCCAGGACAGCAAACGTAGCATCCAAGGGATTGCGTCAAAGAAGCAAAAGTTAAAAGCGCTTAGATCTGTGGAATATCGAGCTTATTTTGCCCTCAGCTGGCGCGGACCACATATAACTCTACGTTTGTTGGCATAACGCATGTTTATAAACACTGGCAGTGTTTTTGGGCTCCTGCTATGTTTGCGATGCGTTACTGCTGCGACGCTGGATATTTAATTTTATGCTATATCTTTTAGTGATGCGAGTTAGGTATTTTATTTAAGGGTACTACAGCAAGGAACCCCCCCCCCCCAAGTATGTAAGCCAACAACCTTCGGGTATGTTTATAAACACTGGCAATGTTTTTGGGCTCCTGCTATGTTTGTTGCGCATTACTGCTGCGACGCTAACTCACGCTCGATACCGATCATTCAGCGGATGCTCAGCCTAGCTGCACTCATGCCTAATTGGCTCCTTGAGAGCTGCATGCTGGTAATGTGCCATCTGCCTCACGTTTATGTCGCTTTGGTCGGCTAAATAAATAAATGTATGCGAGATATAATACAGCATCAGCTGCGAGAGGAAAAGATGGATAAGCAGAGGTTTGCGCTGCCTCCTCTGTCTTGATTAGGTTTGTGGATATTAAACATCTGATGTCCCTCCGTTCGATCACAGTCAGGCCTGGACCGGCGACATCAGCGGGCCGGTGGGCGGTGCAGATCGTGGGGGAGGGGGGAGGGGGCTTCGGTGCAGGTTGGCTGTAAATCATGGTCACCCTCTGCAGAGACGGTGTGGTTAAAGTCTGGATGGTTATCAGGCTGGACTGGCAGCAGGGGTGATTACCACCACTCACTCTGTGTCACTCTGTGTGGGGCCCCCTGTTGCTCACAAACAGTCACTACACTAAATCTTAAATAAGCTTCTGATTTAAGAGATGCTGAAGCAGAATGTTCTGCCGATAAGCTAGCTAGCTACCGTCTTCTGACTCAACCAGATAACGTTAACGTCATATGCAGCCATGAAGGGTTTGTATCCCAGCGGCACCACAAAAGAAAAGCTATCAGTTTTTCAGCGGGGGCCCCCAAAATACCGAACCCGCCCCTGGACACACGGGCGTTGCACTAAAAGCCCTTCTCTGATGGCGCAGTCCCTGTTAATGAAAAGCCCGAGAAACAGGACTAACCAGAGGACAGGAACCGTAGGTCTGGGGCAAAAATCACATGTGAATAATCAGCAATGGCACTTCACTTCACATAACGGGGAGCGGATCGATTAGACTGCATAAGAGACCCGACGGATCTCGTTCCCGCAGCCTCGCCTTCCCGCCTCGAGTCTTGCCAAGCGTCACCGCAGAGGGTCTCCTCGTCCCCTCCCCCTCTCTGCACCCCCAACGACGGCACGAACACTCAATTTCACACCCGTCTACCGAGCCTGGGGCGTGAAGCGGAACGAGGCCCCCAAACCCCACCAGAAGGAACCTTCCCGGCTCTTCCCGGCCTTGAGGCTCCGCCTCCGTTGCGAGCGCGGCCTCCTAATTACCTCTGCAGAGTCACACTCGGCTCCTTACACCCACATGGGCCGTCCGTGAACGTGGACCGTTCTGTTTATAGTGGCTTAAGCTGCTGGTTACCCTGGAAACCTGCTACTTTCAAAGCGACAGGGACGTGTGACACCTGAAACACATGTGACTGTGTTAACGCTATGGGTGACGCTCCGTAGCGTCCCTGCTGTCGTACGATCCGCACGCTGGGTACCTCAGCAGTTCCCATAGGCTTCCACGAGCCAGGGACGTAACCAGTTTTTTTTAAACCATCTTTTCCAAAAATAACATTAGGGGAATCACCCTAGATTCATTTGCATATGAAAAAGGCTTATTGTAAATTAACCACTATTTCTTAATCCACACTCAAAGAATCGACATTATAGAAATAAACAGCCTAACATAATGCAATACAAACGATCATTAAAGTAACTCCTCTCCTTCAAGAAATGGGCCTTTACACACACAAGTCAAGGGGGCAGTATATAGCTCAGTGGTTTAAACACTTCTGACCATGGAAGGTTGTGGGTTCATATCTCCATCGGTCATTGAGAAAGGCCCTTTATTTCAACTGCTCCAGCCTCACTAGCTGATGCTACTCTCTGATCATCACTTATACGTCACTTTGGATCACAGCACCTTCTAAATCAAGTTAATATCTGTCATGCACATGTTATTTCGCTGCATTTACCAATAACCCAAGACAGAACCCATGCAACATAGCAACTGGGGAACCAGTGATCTGATTAAGTGTCTGAGTGAAGTGGAGAGGTCTAGGTAACCACAAGACCACAATGCTCAAGTAAGCCATGCTGATTAAGTTCTAAAACAGCTTTCCCCATCCTGGTCCACGGAGGTCTCCAAACGGTCCACATTTTTGCTCCCTCCCAGCTCTTCACACAAAACAAACTAAAGTCAGAAGTCAAGGAGGCTATGTATAGCTAAGTGATTTAGACAGCTGCGACCTTAACCAGAAGGTTGTGGGTTTGTATCCCCATTAGCTCTTGAGAAACTACCAGGAGTTGGGAGGAAGCAAAAATATGGACTGTTTCTGAAGACTGAGTTGGAAAACATTGTTCAAGACGACTCTACAAAGATAACAGGCAAGAGCAGAAGAGCTGGTTACTCAAGCGGGTACCAACATGTCGCTTTGGACGCACCTGTAGGATGAGCACCATGCCCAGCACCATGGAGTACATGTCGTACTTCCCCAGCTGCCGGCTGAGTGCCGCGTTCATGGCCTTCAGTGCGTCCAGGTACTGCTTCAGGACCTTCTTGCCCACGTTGAGCAGCACCTCCGAAGCGTTACCTTCCAGGTACAGCTTCACCCAGTTGGCGTGAGACTTCTGCGCCACGCGGAACAGCTCGTGGCCTTCCTCTGCGGGGGATGGGAGAGGAAGGAGGGCATGATGGGAAATGGACACTTCCCGTGGAGGCCTCTGGCCCTTAAAGAAACCAGGCCAATTTTAGCAGGGGTCATAATAACAGCGAGTGTTTTTTTGTGTCCATTTTACTGAGAAATGTGAAATCATCAGTACTGGGAAACATTTCTCCAAAGTGGGGGCTGGCCAGTGTGCGAATAACGCCCCCCCCCCCCATGTACAAAAGCTCTGTACATCCCAAGCTGCAGCCCTCATAACAAAAACTGATAGATAACTCCCATGATGGAGACGATCTGCGGAAAACATTGTCTTGGGTGGGGGTTCCACAGACACCTTCCTGAAGTCACGGTCACATGAGCCCCCCCCCCCCCAAAAAAAAAAGTGCTTCCCCCATCGCCTCCCCAGCTGAGCCTCCATACCTCATCAGGAGGTCGTTGCAACCCCCAAACCCAGCAATTCTCAGCGTCTGCCACAAGGGACCTCCAGTGCTGATTAATCGCGAGGGAGGGAGGGAGGGACGGGCGGGCGGAGGATGACGGCGGAGGGGGCTGCAGTGCCGCGGCCAGGCCGGTAATGACAGGCTGGCTGGCGTTTCTCGGCGCCGGCTTCCTGCGGCTCTCTGCACCGCTGCTGCCGTCAGCCCCATGTGATCTTACCCTCTCAGCGGATGGGAGTCCCCTTCAAGGGAGCAGCCCGAGCCAAACCAGCCCCCACCATTCCGGAACCTTCTCCACGCAAATCGCATTGCTTAGGCCAGGGGTGGGCAATCTTATCCGCAAATGTATGCAGGTTTTTGGGATAACCTTTAGGTCAGCTGTTCAAACCCAGATGTGAGGACTCCTCAGCCAATCAGTCCTCTAATTAGTAATTAGTCGCATACACTGCGGCCCCTTCTGGATAAGATTGGCCACCACTGGCTTAGACTGACATGGGAACTTCCTTCAAAACTGCTTACAGCAACGTGAAGCCCAGATTTATTCCACCCACTTGCAATAGAGTCAAGTTATAAAGAATGAAACACAACATCACACAATATTTTACCAGCCTGTACTTGAGAAGCGGTTCGGAAGATGGACAGAGGGTATTTCAATCATCGGTTGTGACTGGTGTATGACAACAATCTACACAGATGTATTGTGACTCACACAAAACGATGACAAAACACAAGATGTCAGAAGAATTTTGATGAAAAGAAGCTGCAGCAATGAAAATATCACTTAGCTGGGGCTGCCAGCCATAGGGAGCCAGTGTGTCGTCCCAGGGTCAGGATTGGATGATGAGATGTCATGTGACCCAGAGGACTTTTCTGGGTCAGTTAGATAGAGAAAGCTAGATGGAGGGCTCCCCAACAGATTCAGCACATGTGACTCTTTGCTAGTTCTGTTTCTTTGCGCTGTGGGTTTTAGACACTTGTCGATGGGCTCGCTCACGCATTCTGGAACGTTCCTATTAAGCCGCCCATCAGCAGCCAGAACGCCCGCTCCGTCCTTCTGTAACATCTGGCGAGATGCAGCTCCAGACCCGACCCACGGCTCGGTACCGCCGGAAGGGCATCCCATTCCAGCTCATCCTGCTCAGCCCAGCTGCAGAATCTCTCCTCAGGCTAAATATTTACGGCTATTGCAGTTGGGGGGGGTGGGGGTGAAATTAGCTTAATAAGTGGAACCAACCACACAGGGATGTGAAATAAAAGGCAGCTAATTAAGGCACTTAGAGAGTTTAGCGATCGCTACGGACACCAGAGCACATCACGAGTGATGTCTGTGGTCACCATGCTGAAGGGACCCCCCCATAAAACCATGGTACCTACCCACATGAGGCAAAGCCAGCCCCACCCAATTTGGCTGTGGGAAATCATGGCTTTGTGTAGCTGGAAAGCGAGAAAAAGGAAAGGCACATAAAGAAAGCGTCCGCCACCGACCTGGCTCGTACTTCAGCGTTGGTCGTCCAAATTACGACAGGTTCAGTCTAAATGCCAAAAAATTACTGTAGAAGGACCCTTATAACTCGGCAAGAGTCGGACCTCATATTTATGGAAAAGAGCACATGACCGCAGATACATCAAACTCACTTGTGATGTGACAGGAAAAACTGAAGTGTGAATTAATCAAAGTAATGTTTCTCAAAACCTGCAGTAGGAATTGGTTTGTTGGCCACTCGATTCAGAGTGTTGGCAGTGCAGTGCGGCATTCAGAACAGAGGGACAGGCCACAGACAGGAGGTGAAAGCCATGACTGACACAGAAACCCTGAGCAGCCCAGACCTATTTCAGGCAGGGAGGATAAGAGTCTCAGTGAGAAATCAGGGCAGCAAAGCCTCCGTTGAATGACATTTGAAACATTCATTTTCAAAACACAATGAGAGTGAAGGAAAAAAAAAACCATATGCTTCACCAGCATAGTTCAGCAGCATGAACATCAGTCACTCAAAGCAATACTGACATCTGGAAGGTTCAGCACCACGGACAGCAACCCCACACAGTGACACTGACTGCTGGAAGCTTCAGCACCATGGCCAGCAGCCCAAACCGGCAACACTGACAGCTGGAAGGTCCAGCACCACGGACAGCAACCCCACACAGTGACGCTGACAGCTGGGAGGTTCAGCACCATGGACAGGAGCCGCACACAGTGACACTGACAGCTGGAAGGCTCAGAACCAAGGACAGCAGTCCCACACGGAGGAGCTGACAGCTGGAAGGCTCAGAACCACGGACAGCAGCCCCACACGGAGGAGCTGACAGCTGGAAGGTCCAGCACCATGGACAGCAACCCCACACGGAGGAGCTGACAGCTGGAAGGTTCAGCACCATGGACAGGAGCCGCACACAGTAACACTGTGAGCTGGAAGGCTCAGAACCATGGACATTGACCCGATTCACAAAGGCCCAGTACTCTGCTGGATTTAGCTACCCTCATCAGCTGCCTGTGGCTGCCCTTTACAGCAGGTTGACAGTCTTGGTTAAGGCAAACGAGGGCATTTACCAGTAAGCTCACAGCAGGGAGGAGGACTCGCTTCTCTGTCTGGCTGAGTGCTCTGGGATATCTGCCCCCACAGGACCTCCCTCTCCTGCCCCCTTCCTCCTTGCTCCATCACCCCTAAAAAGCTTTATGAAAACATCACTGCAGGACTCTCCTCCAATGTCTGAATGAAACACAATCATCAGCCCATGCTTGTCTCCGAAAGAAGCCATCCCCATTTCCTCTGATTTCCACATTCTATGCATTTTTTCACTCCTCTTTGCAGACTTTGCCATTCTTCACAGATATTGGGTATCATGGGTGAAGGTGCATCGTTGCATGTTCCCAAACCTCTTCCAAATCCCAGCATACTGCAGCCTGCTGGAATTTCTGAAACAAATTCCTGTGAGTTTTGGAAACGTAACAAAAAAATTCATTGGATTAAATGACTGCGTTTTGGCTCCCGATCCTGTAACATATGATGAGGAACCCTGGCTTAGGTCATTGGCAGTCACATCTCAAAAACGATAACAAAAAAATAATGGATTTAATGATTGGAAATGCACTTGCTGCAATAAAGCTGTAAGCCAGGTTCGCATAATGCTTCTGTAACACTGCTGCAGCCCTAAATCCTCCTCTGAATGCCCATCACATCCCAGGGCCGTTAATCACCACCGACAGCTGCCAGGCTCAGCACCGGGACTATGCACCGGCCAGCCTGAGCCGCCGTCTCACACACGCTGCCCCGGGCCGGGACAGCCGCGCCTCCATGCACAAAGCGGCAAGGAGGCGCGGCAAACAAAGGAGCCGCAGAACGGCCACAGTCGGCTCCTGGTGGGATCATTTGCATCGTTTATGCTCTTCGGTGATTTGGCGGACGAGGACTGTGCTGAGCACAGACACGGAAGCGGGTAAAGCTGGCCGAGTGTTGGCACAGCGAGGGCTTGGGAATGGCTGCAGAATATCAGTGTAGCTTCCATTGCAGCCAGAGACATTACTAAAGGTAGACTGAGCACCATTACATATAAAATGGGGTGAGGGTTGTAAACAACAACAATAATAATTATTATTATTCTTTGGAGAAGGGGCAGCTCTGTGAGGTTGGGACTCAGAAGGTTGCTGGTTCAAATCCCAGGGTTGGCACAGTTGATCCCACCATTGGACCCCTGACCAAGGCCCTTAACCCCATTTGTTCCAGGTCCTGACTGACCCTGCTCCACACCAGTTCCATGAGGTGGCCTCCTGAGATGCTTTTCCAGCTGTCCTGAAGGAGGTCCCACATATACGCTGAGCACTCATGGGCCGCTTTTCCTTCACTATCTGGTCAAACTCCTCCAAAACCATCTCTATTGTGTTTAGGTCAGGTGGCCAGGTCATGTGACACTATCACTCTCCTTTGTTGGTGACTTGGCGTGTCCAAGTACTGTAAATGGTAGTGTATAAGGCGTTTGGCCGTGAGACCCCTCTGGTGAGACCACAGTCATGGAGCAGTTCTGGTGTGCAGGTTACCGCTCCAAAAACACTGACCAATCAGAGGAGCGGTTGGCTCTTTTGGTGCAGTGAGCAAGAGCAGTTGATGGAAATCTGGCTGTGTTTTCATGTTTAAAAAAAAAATAATCATAAAAACCCAATTTCCTTTGCCTGGCAACAGCAAAGTTGCAGCCGGTGATATTTCAAAAGCACTGTGGTCGCCATGGAAACAGCGGTGCCCAAAAAATATGGGGAAAAAAAACCCAGATGATGATGCTGGTAAATGATGCCCAGCGAGAGTTACACCCTCCTTGAGCTCCAGCACCCAGGGATGATTAAGCCACTCCGATTCATTCACTTGCACTAATAAGCCCTAATCAGTAGCAGGCCAATCGCAGGGCTGCTGCACTTGAAAACCACATCAGGGGGTGGTGGTCAATTTAATCACTGGAGGTTGGAGTCAAGGTTTGATGCACCTGGGCTGCTTTATGCTCGTGGAGGGGGCTGGGGAGGGGGAGTGACAGGGAGGTGAATCGCCAGGTAGGGACACCTGTCTATCCAAAGACATGATAAACATGGCAATTCAAAGTCCTTCAGTCAAGGGCCCTCTATACATCTGTTCAGTCCTGAGCATTTTCTGCATTTGGTTAGAAAATCCACCTCTGTTCAGTCCCGAGTGTTGCCTGTGTTTGGTTATAAAAGTCACCTGTGTTCAGTCCTGAGTGTTGCCTCTGTTCAGTCCAAAGTGTTGTCTGTGTTTGGATATAAAAGCCATTTGTGTTCAGTCCTCAGTGCTGCCTGTGTTCCGCCATACAAATTCCCTGTGTTCAGTCCTGAGGGCTGCCTGTGTTCAGTTCTGTCTTTCATCATGAGTAAGCACCAGCTGACTCTCTCTCATATCATACTTCCCCAGGTGCAACAGTGAGCTCAGACCGACTTGCAGCTGGGAAGAAGACTGTCTGTCCTTTAAACCAGTCACAGCAGGCTGCAAATCCCAGTGTCCTGCTACTGCAACCTTTAGCCATCTTCTGTAACAGGCAGGAAAACACATGGAAGGCAAGGCATTATGGGTAAAAATGAGGGACCCAAGCTTCCAGGAAAGAGTTGGGACAATCATGGATGCCATTTCCCCAAGTAGATGATGGGATGGATTATGCAGTAGGGGTAACAGTGATTGGCCAGTGATCTCAGTGACACCAGTTCCCCAACCATAACAATGTCGAGCATTTAGGCTAAAGGAACATCCCTCATACCCACAGATGATGAGCGTGAAAGATCTGTGGCCTGTACTACGAAGCGGGGTTACTGGCTTATCGGGGTAACTTGTCGGATTTAAGGTACCACAGTTCAAATGGACATCATATCCGTTTACTTACATTTTTCCCAGACTACCTTAAATAAGTTACCCCGATAAGCCAGTAACCCCGCTTCATAGTACAGGCAGCCTTTTCACCTCCACACACACACACACACACACACACACACACAGTAATTGCTCGCTCTGGACTCCTGCACGAGTGTCAACTTTAATCATCAGCGAGCGGATGTCGGGTTAAAGAAGCCAAGGGCTGTATACTCCCGCACACCGAGACAGCAACTCCTGACCTGAGTGGTTGTGTCAGAACAAGAGTTTCTTCGCCCAGGGATGGTGTTTATGGGGGGAGGGTACACGGTGAAGAGGCTTTTTGTGGCCCTTTCATCAACATGCTGCTTGCAAACACGTAGTTTTTGCTCCATCCATTTCAAAAGCACATTTCTCACTGCAAGCTTCCTTGTTACAGACTGAACTGCCGGCCCCACACTATTTACAAATTTATAATAACTGGGCATAAACACAGCTCAGAACGAAGCTTCTCTTGGAATTCCAGCACAATGGATCAAGAAAAAGCTTCACCGTCCTTCTGGATGACTTATGGCTGGCTGTCTGTCGATCTACTCCCATTTTAAAACATCAATGGATCCCTCGATTAAAGAATAATGTGTCAGTGTAACCCTAATCTATCTTTTTATTCACCTCAAAAATGTTCTACTGAGGTGAAGAAGGCTGGCCCAGTGCTCCTCTGGGTAGCCAGTACTATTGGCACATTATTAATCAAAGAGACGTCCCTGAACTCTTGATGGCTGGGTGATACTTTGGAAAGGACTGGAGTCTCTTAGACGGAGTGACAGAATTGGAACAAATTGTAGGTTATGTTAGCTTGGGATCTATCTGCCCCAAGAGCTATACCCTCGCCAAAAACAACCCCGTATGCAGCTCAGTGGGCTAGGCCTCTCCATTTCTAAGGTTGTTGGTTCAAATCCCGTCCTTGGCAAAATAGTCACATCTTCATTGGGTGTTTGAAAGAGGCCCTTAACCCCCTGAAAAATGCTCCGGGAGAGCTGGGTAAATTGCTGACCCTGAGCTCAGACCCCCAGCTTTGCTCTCAATTGTACGTGTGCGAGTGTCTCTCTCTCTCTCTCTTAGAGGAGAGCATGATGGGATGTGATAAAAGAAGCTTCCTAGTGCACCTGTACTGCGCATCATACTTGCAGAAACAGTACCTAAAGCTTCACTTCATTACCATGCACTGAGTCCACTGCATCCAGTGCTGGACACACTGCATCAGTGCAGTGTTAACATGCCCCAAACACTCCTCTATCTGGAGGAACCTGGATAAAAAAACTTCTAAGCGCCTAAATCAGGCCCTGTCTCCATTTCATCAAAGTGAGACAGGACTCAAAGGCAGGACTCGGGAGACTCTGTGCGTGTGATGAATGCCGAGGCGAGGCGAGGCGAGGCCTCACCTTTGTGGAAGTGAGGCGAGCTGTCCTTCAGCAGAAGGCTGAGCTGCACTGCATTCAGGTGGAGGTAACGGAGCTGCTGCCGCAGCGGCGTGCCCTGGAAGGCGGACTGCAGCAGACGGCCCACGTTGTTCTGCGGTATGGGCAGCCCCAGGCCCAGGGCGAGCGTCGGCACCAGGTCCACCTGCTCCACGGGCTCCGGCTTCTCCAGGCCAGCTGCAGGAGTGAGGCAGGCCACACGGTGTCAATGGCGGCGTGTTTTAGCAGGCCCGCGTGCCGCCATCTTGACTTTCGGTTGTCAGGGAGCAGATACATTACTACTATAAAAAAAGGGTGCTATAAAACCTTAAAAATCACATGGGGGGGGGGGTACATTTATATTAATAAATAATTAGGGGGGGCTTTGGGTGGGGATGCTGTAAAGCGCATTGAGGCGATGTAATGTTTTGATAACGCGCTATACAAAAATAAATTTGTTTGTTTGTCTGTTGTAAATCCCAACAACCAACACAAAGCAATTAACAAGTGATGAGTTTGCAGGTTATAATCTGAGCGTGGAAAAATGTATTACATCAACAAAAAAACATGCTAAATCTAAACTGCTTCTTAAAAAAGGTCATTAAGTATAAAATGCCTGATAAGCAAATAATGTCATATTGCTATAGGGGGCTCAAAATGGGGCGCCAGACCCTGGGATCCTCGCTTCACAGACGGTGCATGTTAACATGGGTGGCTTTTACCAAGGTGGAGGGGGCGGGGCTACCAGGGAGGGGAGGCGGAGCCTGCAGGCGGCACCCAGCGGCGAGGCGGGTCTCTTAAGACCCTCCGCTCCAGATGGCCGGCTTCAAGAGGAAACGCGCTGCCCAATCAGCCCGGTGATCTGAGGTACCCGTCGACCGACCGAATGCGTCCCCGTCACGTGACCTCGGTGGCCTTACGTGCGAAGGCCAGGTGAGGAAACCCCGCCCCCCTTCTGATACCAGCCAATGGGCCTCTGAATGAAGTATAATGACATCGACCTACCGGTGAGGGAGGCAGTGACGGGATAACATGACTGGTAACGAGAAGCAGGGAAATGCCGGTGGGCACAGGAAGGGGACTCTCAGGAGGAAACTCCGGAAGACTCAGTTATGACAGACTTTCTTTTGACTCCATAAAATGGTGACAGTGCTGAGATACAGTCCTCAGAGGGCTGGGAGACGGCAAGCTAAAATTCAGAGGGGCTTAGCGGAGCGTGCTCAAGTTTATTATTATTCCTAATAAACATGTACAAAGCCGGACGGACAACAGACCACAAGAGGCACAAATGGTGATCGTATATTGGCTTTTAACGGCGTACAGGCGGGCTGGTGCACTGGGAGTACTGGTAGCGGGACATCTAGCGGTCTCAGAGAGCGCAGCTGTTATGTTTAGAGGGAGCCAAGTGTTAAGGCCCTTGGGGTAGACCACCCTTTGTGAGATGTAGAAGAATCGGGATGTGGTTCATGGATGGGGTGGGGCGGGGCTCTCTGAAGCGGCCTCATTTCATTGGATGCATATTGGAATCGACAGTATCCTTATGCAGCACATCCATGACGATGTCCCACCCATTTAAAGAGACAGTAACATTTTATACTCTCATCATGGTGGGCTTCCTGTCTGTATAACTGATATTAAACCATGACATTGGCCTGCTATGTCTGCATTCTCCATCTCTCCGCGCTAAATATACTATGGTTTATTACTTACTGCCTGACCCTGTGAGATGTTACATTTTCAGATGTTTAATACAGTTTTAGAAAAAACTTTATGTCTTCATTATTTCTTTAACAGTAAACCTTTCCTTTTTTGCCAATACAAGCATTCAATTTATCCTGTCTGAGGGAAGATCATTACTGAGTGTGAGTATATTGCAGATCATTACTGAGTGTGAGTATATTACAGGTCATTGCTGAGTGCGAGTATATTGCAGATCATTACTGAGTGTGAGTATATTGTTGCTCCTTCCTATTGATTAAAAATGAGTTATGTTGAGCACAGAAACAAAAGAATTAAAGTGTTTCCACGAGGGAGCGATCAGAAATGTCGCCCTGGTAGACTCATGATACGGAGACATAGCCAAAGGCAAACAGAACAGACAGAAGAGAAATCCCTCGTGGGAATTTTACTTACACAAAAAATGTTCTGTGGGCAGAAGGAAAGATGATTGGTTATCTTTCTGAACCAATCAGATTGTAGAGGAGGTGGGTACAAGTAACTGCAGGAGGAGGGACCAACCAATCAGATGTCTTGGTCCTGCCTCCTCTAGTTGCTTGGACCCACTTTCTCTACTATCTGTTAATAAACTAGTTTGTCTCCTACTGCAACACCAGTTCATCAGTTTGGGAGGAATAGCTCATTAATATTCATTATCTACCTTTATGACATACTGAAACAAACATATATCACCCGCAATTAAGTAATTCAGGACTGCATTGTGACAGCGTCTCATTGGCTAAAGAGGCTGAAGGGATGCAATGGATTGGCTAAAAATACTCCTCATTCATATTCATATCATCAAGTCCTTCAGTGCAGGCAGCATGCATGGCTGTAGCTATTATAGACGTTAGCCTATAATATCCAGCTGGCCCAAGTCATACTCACGTATCGGGGCCAATGAGTGTTGCGTGACGGGTATGGTGTACTGCTCTAGGCTGGAGCAGCAATGCACTCGTAACCTAACACGACAGGGCAATAACCCTACGCCCCATATATGTAAGCAAAACTGAGCTATTTTAGATTTTACAAACACCCAATGGGGGTGACAATAGGAAAGATTAAAAAAAATCTCCTAAACTCAGTATGAACTCCAGCTAAATATTACAAAAAAATATACTGTACTACCAAAAAAAGAAAAAAAAGAAAAATGTTTCAGAGTACGGCTTCATTTTTCAAACTGCGTGTTAGCTTAGGGCTGTACTTCTAAACCCAATCTCCTGTCTTTGTTGGGACAAATACGGAACATTCCGCAAGGCGCACGACTCTTCGAAATACCAGGAAAAATACACCAAAAGTACATGAAGTGGCAGAAGAATGGGTAGTCTAGCACAGAAGTAGACGAGGTAGGTGTAGATCAGACGAAGAGGAGGGCAAGACATGAGCACCTTTCCTGCCGAAGGCTGAGCTGAGAAGGACCAGCGGGGTGTTCACCTCCGGCTCCGACGACCCCCCGTGACTCCCCGTCTCTGACATGCCGTGATCCCCACAAAGGACGAGCAGGTTCGGCAGGATCCCTTCAGTCTCCTGCACGCCAAAGGGGTCAGAGGTCAGCTTACAGAGACGGATATAACCAATAACCTGTATCCTTATGCAGTGACTACTGAGTATAAAAGCACATGCTAAACTGCATACAATGGGGGGTGTATAGAGAGGTGGGGGCACAGGAGTGTGGACCCAAGCTGAAAGATGATTGGTCCCCGGAGAGCCAATTCACCTGTCACTCACTGATTCAAAACATATCATTGGCTAATGATAAGGTTGGCCCCTATGTATAAATTATGGCACCTCTTATGCCCCCCCCCAAAAAAAAATAAAAATCAAAGAATTGCCCCTGTACATATTAAAATATAATAAGTCTTTGTTTAAACACAGACTAACCAAGAGCCCTCTGGTTGAAAATACCTCCATATTGCTGGCAAGGTGAATGTGTGAACAACCTTGATTGTAAGCCAGAAAAAACATTTGGAAAAATGGGTCTAATTACAGGATCTGTCACAGGGCAGCCGAACTAATGCACAGCAGCCAGCAAGTAATGCAATGAGTAAATAAGCTGCAGAATTTCAATCTGAAGTAGAGTCCCATCGTTATAATAAAAAGATCAGAGGTTCGAATTTAAAATGCCGGCTCACAACTTTGCCGTCAGCTGGGGTAAAACACCGGAGCTCCCCCCCCCCCCCNCCTTCACGGTTCACCGGGTCTTAGTCCTCTCCATGGGGATGCTGGGTAATCTTCTCAGCTTGGCAGCTCGAACCTGTGCACCCCCCCCCCAACCAGAGTACTCTGGGCGCTGAGCCAGGTGCCGTGGTCCTGACAGCACGCAGGTTTTTTTCCACAGTCCGGTGTCAGCAAAGGCAAACTGGGGCCAGCAGGACCCAACCCCGGAGCAGCTGGACTTGCCAGAACTCAAACCGACTCGGCCGGATGAGCTAATGAGCCTGACGACGGAAGACACTAGCCCAAAAAAACAGAACAAAAGGCGAGTGTCACATGGAGATTAGCACTCCAGAGCGTGTGCTTCACGCGGAAATTTATACATTACCGCACTGCCATTTTCTCAGAGGTTACTGATAATGGAGCAGATTCCACCCTAATGAATAAGTAAGGTGGAGGTATTCTGAGCTGGCAGAAGCATGAGAGGGCATCAGAAATGGGCCCGTTGACAAAGGGAATCCAGAAGTTAAGTTCTGAAGAGTAAATTACATTCAGTAACTGCAGCCTTAAGCTAAAGTGTCACTTTTTACCCATTTATACAGCTGGATGTGTCTGATGTAGCATCTCTGGTTAGATACCACACTGTCCCGGGAATCCTGGGATGTGGGAAACGTCACAGGAGGTCCCTGCTGGTCTAATAGTCAGGATCCGCCATTCTCCCCATCAAGGCCTGGGTTCGATTCCCGGGCCGGAGGAAACCATGCGTCAGCTTCAAGAATTCCCCCCAGGACAAACAAAGCATGATTTCTTTCAAAATAATCAATATCACCCCGTTATATATTCAACACAGATCCAAAAGCTGTGCTTAGGTTTTTATGTTCGAAACTCAGACGGATGCTGTGTAGGAATTAGACACGTGAGCAGGTACAGAGTAATGTGTGGTTACCACCGTTAGGGTCACCAGCACTGGGTGCATCCAGCTTGCCTGGGGGTTCAGCAGACCTGGCTAAATGGACCAAACAGGGGGCTATGAGTTGGACTAGAGCGGGGGCAAGTCACATGCCATCATCAGGCAGCACCACGGCAACAGATGCAGGGAAGAGGTTGCCAGGGCGACAAGTGAGGTAGACCGTGGAGGATGGAGGGTTGGGACTGGCAGGAACATGCAGGAGGTGAGACAAAGCGATGGTGAGGCTGATTTATTGCGTACACCGACCAACAGCATCAACCTGTCCCCGGAACGGTGCTAGCTCACAGCCCCCCTGAGCACTAATGTCGCGGGATGCTTGTTCTGGTGATTTAAAACCAAGTGCCGTTCAGCAGACTGCCAGCGTCGCGAAAGGTCACCAAGGGGTGGAAGTGCGGACAGGGGGGGCGGCCTTGTGCTGCCCCCGCTGTCGCTGTCCCTCTCAGGAGCTCAGCCGTATGGAGGAGGGCCGTGATCCTTTGGCATGAACTGCCTGCCCTTCACTCACCCAAAGCTAATCTAACGCCGTATTACATGCGGAGGAGCCTCTCGGACTGGCGTGAATTAACAGATTACACCGTGAGGCCGTTCTCCTTAAAATGAATGATGAAGACCTCCTGAGGTGTGTGGTGACCTTCATCCTGCTCCTCACAGGCCAGAGCTTCTAGGCCAATGTGTGGCTCAGTGGGTCAGGACACCATGCTTTTGATCTGAAGGTTGCTGGTTCAGATCCCTGAGTCAGCAAAATAATTTCACTGCTGGTCCCTTGAACAAGGTCCTTAACACCCAGCTGTCCTACTTCAGGTGCTGTTTGACCTTGCCTTGGTTAATAGTGCTTGCTAAACAAATAAATCGCATTCACCAGAAGGCACCTAGCCAACGGAGCCACGACGGAGAGGTAACGACAAACAAGTCCAGTGAAACTCAGCAACCAATTATTTATTTTTCTTTTTCTTCTTGATTACAGGGGGACGCGGGAGGAGAAAGAGTC